CAAAGGCATTTTCCGCTTGGCTTTGGGGATTCATTTATTTGAAAAATATCAGAGCTCACCAATTAAATCTCATTTGGTTTCCCACTTAATATAATAGTTATATGAGAAAGAATAAAATTTTATGAATTAAAGATTGTGATGAACTCTACTAGATTGAGAGCCTATTGGGAATTCCCTCAGCTGTATGGAGACTTGCCCTGATTAATTTTAACCATGGCTACCATATCTGAGGGTAGGCTGTGTGTCAGGCGTGTTAGATACACGGATCTCACCCAGTCACAACAGTGATGCGAGGTGGGCACTTCCGTCGTTAACCCCATACTACAGATGAGGAAACTGAGGCGCTGAGACACTGAGTATGCTCAGGAGTCACTCAGTAAGAGGCAGAGCCAAATCTGAATCCAGTTATGTCTGCCTTCAAAGCCCTGGTCATTTCTAGTACACAATTCTCTGCTACTCACCTGAGCAGAATGGTCACCTAGAATCGAGTAGACCCGAAGTCGGCAACCAGCAGCAGCCTGCTGGCTGAACTTGGCCCACAGCGTCTTCTACTTGGTGAGCTTGGAGTTTTAATTTCAGCTTTTGTTTTGAACACCTTCGATGGGGTGGGCGGGCTCCAGTTTTGTACAGTTCCCAGGGCTAACCTTTCTGCGGTGCCCAACAGCCTCTTGGCAGAAATCCTGTTGCCTTCGGGTCAGTTTGCAAGGCCTGGTGTGCCACCCGTTTGGACTGACCCTCTCATTTTATGGGCCCAAGAGAGGGTGGGATTTACCCAGTGTCAGTCAGCAAGACAGTGGCACAGGGAACTTGGGACCATGCTCTTTGCCCCCAGTGGCCCTTGTCTCCCTGGCACAACTACCCTACCCCCACCTGCAGGGCTCCGGGCTGAGGGCCTGCCCCTGCACGCCCACACCCACCAGCTTGACTGCATTTCAGGTCGGGGCTGGTCTCTCCAGCCCACCACCATCCTGGTTTCCTACAGCTCAGGGAAGCTGAGGCTGGGTGCGGGGAACTCCGGGTGAGCCCCTGGCACCAGTGCTTTCCTGCAGGTGCACAGGACATTGGCAAAAGTCACAGGTTTGGTTGAACAAAGAGCTGGCTTTTTAATCACGCAGTCCGACAAGCCTCCGCCTGCAGGCCAGTGGAGAGGTGAGCCTCCTGGGGCTGCCTGGCAGACGCCCTGATTTCTGCTCCTTCAAGTGGCCTCTTGGAAAAGAAAGGAACCAGCAAGTAATCAAGCCTGAAGGACAGAAACACTCCAGGTGAGGACAATCACCCTGGGCTGGGGCAGGGGTGGGGTGGGGTGGGGGCAGATGGGGGCCTAAGACAGGTTCTGCAGCCAGGTCGGTTCTGGACTTGCTACGGATCTGCTCTCTGACCACCGACAAGTCACTCCCTTAATCTTGCTAGGCCTCTGTGTCATCGACTACAAAACGAAGGTGGCGTTTTTTGTGAGGAGTGAAAGAAACGAAGCCTGCTAGGAACTCAGCACAGAGGGCGAATTGCAACATGCGCCAGGGCTCCCCTTGCAGGAGCACTCAGCGCTCCCAGGTGCTGGCTCCGTGCAGAGCACCTGACACGCAGCCGTTTCCTCCTCCGACTGGAGTGTTGTGGGCAGCGGGTGGGTGCCAAAGTGAAGTCACAGCTTGAGACGGGAATCTGGCTCACGTTCTTTCCAGACTGGCCTCCCCGCACTGCCGTGCTTGGGTGCCGACTCCAGGCTCCCCGACTTCCTCTCTGAATGAGTGTGGGGAGGCCCTCCTCCTCCGTACGTGTGTCCTGTGGTTGCTGGGACTTCACCTAGTGTGAACACACCCTTGTGTTTGTAACATTTTGAAAATAGTAAGTGGATATGTTCTTTATTCTTCAGGGAAACCCTGTTCCCCGCCTAGCTCCTCGGATGGCCTGGGGCAGGAGGAGGTTCAGATGGAGGGAGAGGCCTGATCAGACAGGAGGTGGGAGCTCAGAGCCCGTGTCGGCTGGGGGTTGTCGGCAAAGGCAAAAGGGGGGCACGTGCAGGGCAGGGCTGAGAGGCCAGCTAGGCCTGCACCTTTCCTCTTGGTGAGGACATTGCAGAAATGCCCAGGTGAGCCCCAGAGCACAGTGACACGCGGACATCCAGGGGAGGTGCCTGCAGCTGGGAGCCTGTGCCCGGCTGCCCTTCCCGGCCTGCGTGAGTGTGCAGACTCCAGAGTCCCCACTGCTGGTGCTGAGAGAACAAGAAGACGGGCAGAGCCCGTGGTCACAAGTAAGAGACCGCTGCAGCTAGAACATGTGCAACTGGACCTGGGCACCGGCTGGTCGCCCTCAGAGGCTAGAAGGCCCTGGCATGGCCTTCAGTCACCTGGCTGGGAAGTAGCCTCGCCCTGCCAGGACCCTGATGACACCATGAGGTCCGAGCCTTGCTTCTGCCCTGACCAGGCGCCCTGCTCAGGAGCACATCCGGGTGCCCGCTAGTGGGGACCCAGGAAGATGGCTCACAGACTGAGAATCTATCCAAAAGAGACTTGTTAAATCAGAAGAGACCTAAATGCCATCAATTTGCAAATTCAAGTTTTTCTACTCTCCCACCCCCCACACACCCGATGAGGTGGGGATTCTGAACAGTTACATGAAATAAAGTGCTTTATTCTCTTCCTTATGCTGCATGTAGTGTTGAATGTGTAACCCACAGTGAATGAATGAATCCTACAAATAGGTCTTGTGCCGGCCATGGGAGGAGAAAGTAAATGCACACACTGGTCACAAACAGGGAGGGGTGATGGGCTGGGGTGAGGGAGAAGCAGGGAGGACAGGAAGGCACCGGAGAGCCCGCCTCTGCCGAATAAGGGTGGATACTGTGGGGCCTGGAGCCCCGCTCAGGGGCACCACTTGTTTCAGGCTTGGAGACAGGGTGTCAAGACCGCAACAGGGACTTTGTCAGGCGCTTTCCTGAGCTGATTTTGGAGAGGGAGGAGAGAGCATAAAGGCGCTTAGTGCCTGCGTGGGGGTGGGGTGGCTGAGAGGAGGGGAAGTGGGTGGTGCAGTGTGTGAGTCGCCAGTCTGGCTGGGTGGGGGAGCCGTGTCCAAAGGTGAGGACAGTGGGGTCACCACTTGGAACTAAGCACACAGAAGAGCCTTTCTGCTACAGCCGTCCAGTCAGAGGCGGTCATTCCGCCACACGTCCGGAGGCCATGTGGGGACGCCAGTGCATTGCATTGTGTCCTATGCCTCAGTGGTGGCAGTGGTGGGGCAGCTGGTGAGCCAGTCAGGGAGCAGGCAGGAGTCCGACAGGTGGTCAGGCACGCACTGTCGTTGGCTGTGTCAGTCGCCCAGAGCTGGAACAGGTGGCCGAAGCCCCAGAGGTTCCAAGTGGGGATGGGATGCGCTGCCTAGGAGGGCCCGCCACTCTGTTCCGTGCCAACAGCTCCTCCGCACCAGCAGGCCCTTCCCCGCCCTGCCCCAGGCTGGGCCAGGTGCTCGTCTTGCAGAGCCTTGCACGCAGGGCCATTGGCCTTGGCATTTGCTGTGTGAGTTCGGCCAGGCTGGGGTGCACCGGAGTATGGACAAGGCCGGAGGTGTTTGCCGAGTCCTCCCCGACCTCTAAGGGGGCACCCGTGCAGGCGGCCAGTGGGCAGAGGAGAGGAGCTCTCCGCAGGGCCAGGATGGCAGGCAGCCTTTTATTAATGACAGCGGTGGTGATGACATCAATGACGGCTGACACCCACTGCGTGCCTGTTGCATGCCAGGGCATGTGTCAGGTTTGGCACACAGCAGCTCGTAGAACCCCAGGTGGTGGGGGCGCTCCTGGCTCAGACGTTCACAGCTCCTTTCCATGTGCCTGGGACATGGGCCCTCCCCCAAAGTCCCTGTACTGAGCCAACCATCCCCTGGGCTGGGGCCAGGGTGGGAAGACACCCAGACCCCAGCTCGAGGCACACAGGGTCCTTCCAGTAGCCTCCGCCAGTCTACTCCGAAGCCACGTGGGATGTGGGTGGGGCAACAGAGCCCAGCAGCACCCTTACCATGTGGAGACAGCCTGGGTTTGGGTGCCCCTCAGGTGTGTCCAGTGGCCAGGTGCTGAAGATAACCAAGTGTGGGTTCAAACCCCGGTGCCACCCGTCTCCTGACACCATGTGACCCTGGCCACCACACTCCACCCCCCACCAGTCTCTCCACTCCTCAGTGGTAGCGATGATGCTGCAGGGGCCAGTTTTCTCCCTCCCCTGGGCCCGCTGGTCGGGAAGCTTTTCCCTCTAGGCGCTGGGAAGGGGCGTTGCTTCTGGTGAGGCTGGAAGGAGATGGAGGCCCGGGAGGTGGCTCACGTTCCCCGCCTTCCAGGCAGCAGGCGGCCTTTGCGTGTGCTCTGCCGAGGGCGCAGGGCGGGCCCCACACTGGGATGCTCCGAGCGGCTGGTTGGAGGGGTGTCACAGACTGACTGGGGGTGTGACGAGGTCTGGACACAGACACGGGCATAGCAGGAGGCCTAATGTCTCCCCTCCAGCGTGGGCGGCTTGACCCCCATGATTCTTAGCAGCACTTGTCAAATTCAAGTGACTTGCTTATCCCTTTTGTCCGGTACTTTCCCCATTTTAACCCCAAAAGTCCCACTTTTGGGAAAACTTTCCAGTACCAGGCAAACTGGGATGGCTGGTCACCATCTTCTCAGCCAAGTCCAAGGATCAAGGCGGCCAGGTGGGGGATCGGAACCTTAGAATCCACATACATGCCGGCTTTGGGGCATTAGATGAAACCAGACAGAAATGAGTGCCCAGACCAGCCCTGGTCTCCCAGCAGGTCCTTGGGGAAGGCCACACCCTCCTCCACCATGCTCCCCCTGCTGGCCCTTTCCCACCCCCTCCCCAGGGACGAGCCCCCTGCCATACACAACTACAGCCATCTTTATAAGTATATTTTAATTGAAAATAAAAAAGGCATGGTGCTTTCTCATAATCAGCATACAGCCCACCCTCCAATGCTGCCGCTCCCGCTTCATGTGCAAAGTCTCAGCACAAAATTGACACCACTGGCTTCTTGGTGGACAGGTCACCCCGGCAGGTCCACTGAGGCAACTCCCAGGACAGAAGCTGGCTTCCCGCGCACATGCGGCACCTCGTTAGGAAGGCAGAGCTCCAGTATTAACCTTCATGCAATAGGTATCGCGCGCTGCCCGGGCTGCTTAAATCAGACACTTTGCACAGGTTTAGACAGTACAGTAATGTTGTCTATGTATTGATATCTCTTTAAATATAGATAGCTATATATAATATATATGTTTATATTTTTACGGCTATTAGTCTTTCTTCCAAAACTTGCTTTGGAAGCTTCTAATTAAAACCTGAAACTCTGGGTGATGCTACAGGCCATTCTGAAGTTGGGCTCAACTAGGAGACGTGGCGGAAAAACATCTGTTTGAGAAAACGCAGAGAAGGGACGTGCCTTTCATTCTCGGCCTCCACGTGCAGACCACGCCGAGGGCGGCAGTTTCATCCTTTACATACAAGTTCTAAGCTCAAATACCAGGCTGGTCCAGTTTTACGGACGCTCCGGTTGCCTAAGCTAAAAATCCGGTGGGGCTCTCTCGCTGCACCTGTGAAAGCTGTCTTATGAGTGGGTGATTCTCGGTTTGGGGGTTCTCAAGCAAATCCTTTAAACAAACAAAAACGAAAAACCAAAGTTCTTCTCTTGGTTTTCACTGACTGGACGGGAAGAGATGCTGCAAACCCGACTTGGGGGACTTCCATGTGCTCTCAAAGGCTAGCTTTCCACAGAGCCCTGGCTGCGGCTCCGGGGAAGAGGATGCGGCCCCCAGAGCCCGATGGAAGGCTCACCGGGCGCTGGCGGGTCAGGCTAATCACAAAATCCGGGGCTCTTAGGTTTAAGCCAAGGTCGGGGAAGGTGGGACCCATGGGTTTGTATGAAGGTGGGCTGTGTTTGCCCATCCCCCTTGGATGCCCCTTCAGGGTGGCTGCCCAGCACATCTCGACCCCTTAGCCAGGTGCCTCCTCTGGCTGAAGGCGCCCCCTATTATCTGCTCAGGGAACCGGTAGGGACCTACACAGAGAGGTGCAGGCGGCTGGGGGAGGACTGCGGGGCAGGGTCTGCCCTGCAGAGGACCCACGACCTCTGGCCTGTAGCCCAGCCGTGCGTCCCTCAGGGCAGCAATGGCGTCCACCGGGAGTACTGCGGTGCTTACGAGGCTGGGGCAAGAACGGAGGCCCAGGTGGCACTGTGCTGTGCTAAGGTGTGCAGGGAAAGCAAGCCCACATCCAACCCCCAAACTGTCCTTACACACAGGGAAAACCAAGGGGCAGGGGGCCCCTTCTGGGACGCTGTGGCAGGGCCTGTCCTCAGCCTGTGCCTGCTGACCTGGGGGCAGGACCAGGGTTAGGACCATAGGAAGCCCACCTTCTCCCCTCTGCTCTGTGAAAGGCAGCAGGACCTGGAAAACTCAGGGGGCACAGGGCTCCGGGACAGTGGGTGTATCCAGGCTCAGCCCAAATGCGGACTGGTCTTCAGTCTGTCAGTCTCACCTGGATGTGAAAGTCTCACCTGTGCACCCCCCCCCTCCCGCAACCCTGAGTAGTTCGGGAAGCAGACCACATCCACCTGGCAAGGTTCCTACCTGGCCAGGGAGTGAACCATTCAATGTGTCTCATTGCTCCCTAGGAAATGTGTGGGTGGTGAGGAACCTGTGAGGTCAGGAGCCTCTCCCAATCCAGCAGGGGATGGAAAGCCCCAGGGCTGCCATCTCCATGGGCCTAGTGATGTGTCCACATGTGGGTGGGTGGCTTCCCTTCATCCACCAAGCACTGTGGAGGGTTCTGCGCTTCTAGAACACAAGACCTTGGGAAGAGTCAAAGGGCCACTGGAAGAACTTGGCCTTCTGTGGATGGGTGGAGGCCTGGGGGCTCCCAGGAGAGGGTCGGTCCCCATCAGGGTTGCAGGAGAGCATCGGGGAGACCCAGCCCAGCCCTGCACGCCCGCTGTGGGTTTGGCACAGCAGTGGCCTCTGCCAGAGGAAGGCAGGGCCTGACTCACATGGACGCATCAGTTCCTACAAGGGTCAGGTTTAGGGATGCTTCTGCGAACAGGCCTCGTGGCCTCTGTCCTTCCAAGCCCGTGGCCTAGTGCTCAGTGTGTCCTTGTGTACCCCGAAGGCCAGCCACTACCCGGGAGTATAAACGAGCCCCTTTGTGTGCTCAGGCAGGAGGGGACTTGGCAGGGTGGGCGCACAGCCCTCTGTGGCAGCGGGTCAGGAGCCAGGCAGGATCCAGGGGCCCGGGGGTCAGTGGGGACAGGAGGGAGAAGGCAGGCCCTGCAGACTGAAGACAGAGCAGATGGGGCGGCAGACATGTGTGGGAAGCACCTTAGAAAGGAGACGTCTCGCAGCCTTGTCCATGGCTTCTGTTGGGGAGGGCATGGGCACAGAGCAGCAGGCCAGCATCCCGGGGGCGGGGAGAGGTTTTCTGGCAGGGGAGCAGCCCCTGGACTGCCTTTCTTTTGGCTGAAGGGGAACGCCTCCCCGCTCAGCAGACAGACCGGCCCTGTGCATTCGACAGAGCACGTGCTTTAGACAGTAGCCGGGAGACAGCAGGTCACACACAAGACGAGAGATGCGGAGAGCGTTGGGCGCTGGCGGAGAGCCGCCCCAGGGCAGCATGCGGGTGCGCCTGGCTCAGCCTGGGGCCTGCGCCGCCCCGGCCCAGCTGCGAGGCTGGGAGGAGCGTGGTTTCTCCTTCGACAGGCTCAAAGCCGGCAAGACAATGAAGTCCTGGACAAGCCCAGTATCAGCTCATGTGCCACCAAGGTGCCCCTCTGGCCAGTAGTCCGGGGCCGCAGAGTCACACCACGGCGCTGTTCGCGGCCACGCCTTTGCTGCCCTGCGAGGACGTCATGGGATACTCAGCAGTGCTGGTGCCGTTCTCCTCCTTTCTCAGGGGTTTCCTGGGAGCGGGGGCAGGGGCAGGGGAGGCCAGGGAGGGGGAGGGACATCCGTTAATTATCAATGCCGGTGGGGGGGTATGTCCTGCCCTCCCAGGTAGCCCACCAGGCTCTGTTCTGGTTAGCATCCTTGGACCACTGGGCTCTGGGGCGGGGCGGTGGGGGCTGTGGGGGACTTGAGAAGGCTCTCGCTCCCTTGCTGAGGTTCTGGATTCGCAGCAGCAACTTGTGGTTCAATTCTCATCTCTCTCGAGTGGCTCGGGAGGGCTCTGGCCCCCAGCCTGAGGCTGAGTGGCCACGGCTTCCTGACGGAGGCCACGCAGCTGTGAGGCAGTCCCCTGCTACAGGTGGCTCTGAGGCCTGGGGGCTGCAGCTCAGATGCCCGTGTCCCCAGGAATGCTGGGGCTGAGCCTGAGCCGGCCTTTGGTGTCAGTTGTCTAAAGTGAATGTTTATGGTCATCACTGAGAGCCCAGGGAATGACAGCATCTGCCTTCTCAAGCATCCCCGGAGCTACCCCCGCACCACCCTTGCATGAGGAGGATGCTGGCCAGCTTGGTGCCGATGCGGTAAAGCCCTTCAGGAATCAGTTCAGGGGGAGGGGCCGGGAGGTGGTTATCATGGGGTGGGGTTACCAGGCCTGCTTGGACAGCACCCCGAGACTGAATCTATCAACTCTCCCTTTTCTCAGGCAGGAGAATCAGCCCCTGGAACACGTGGAGAAACCCAGGCACACTCAGACTGGGCGCCAGGCCCAGCCGCGGCGGCCCCTAGAGATGTGAGATGCAAACCAGCACTTCCCAGACCTGTTGTCCCCTCTTACAACGGTCCCCTGAAGAACCAAGGCCTGGAGTTTCATTTCATTTCATGGGGAAACTGAGGCTTAGGGAGAACTGTGACTTGCCCACGGGCCCCCAGCTGGGTTACGGTGGAGCCTGCACCACCACCCACTTCTACCGAGTCCTGGTCCGGACACCTTTCTGTTACATCACCGTTCCCAGAAGGCATCCCTCGAAATGGGCTCTGTGGTCCCATCGGCTCCGGGAGGCCTCCTTCCCCTCCTCCTGGACATTCCTGAGGTTCTAGGAGGCCTCCAAGAAGCCTGTCTCATTGTGCTTTAACCAAGCACACCCCGTGTCCTGGGGTCTGAAGACCCCAGTTGATGTGGACGATGCTCACAGACATCTTCTGGAAGCCCCAGGTTCTCAGGGCTCGGAGGAGTTGCCTTGAGGTGACCGGTTCATGGACACGACAAAGCCTGAGCCTCTGTCCCCGGAACTTCCTCCCTCTGTCCCCTTCTCCCCTTCCCCCGTCTCAACTGTGCCTGTCCGGGGGCCTCGCTCAGTCTGACGAGGCTGCTCAGGCCTGATTTCTGACTCAGTGGGTCTGTGTGGCCTGGACAATGCGGGGGCGGGGGTGCATTTTCTCACAGTGAGATCTTGTGTTGTCCCAACCACTCTACCATGAGACCCCTTAAGGGAGATTCCTAAATACATCACCCATCTACCAGGTGGGCACTGGTTATCAGAATCGGGATTTCATGAACTTCTAACAGGCAAATACCTCTGGGTCTGATAAGTCTGCCAGAGGTCTCGGTCAGGGGGCATAAGGCTTATGGGCCTGGGAGGGTGCATCCCGAGGAGACGAAGCAGGAGCCTGGCAAATAGGCTGAGCCTGGGCACGGGGTCCCTGCTTGGTTGCGGCTGAGATATCAGCAGGGTTACTTCTGCCGGAGGAGAGGGCAGATTCTAAAGCCAGGCTGAAGGCTGGATGCCCCTTTGCATTCTGGGAGCCTTGGGGGAACATGGTGGCCCAGAGGGCCTGGCAGTAGGCCAGCCTAGCTGGAGGGACACTGGGGACAGGGCAAGGAGGCAGCCCCAGGCCCTTCGCAATGGCTCAGCCAGTTTCCCAGGCCAAGAAAAGATGAAGGGGGTCTGGGCAGGGGCTCCACCCAGTGAGGAGGGAACCTGTGGCTGATGCAGGCCCCCGATGCCGGCACCCCGACCCAGGGGCGTTCCAGAACCTGAGCTTGATGAGCGGAGAGGATGGTGCCCAGGGCCCTCCTGAGAGGTGGAACTGACCTGCTCCTCTCTCCCCCGGAGCGCAGCCCCAGCCACTCTGCACCCTGGGCTGCTGCCCAACCCTCTCCCGATGTCCTTCTGGGACTCACTGGAGCCCAGTGGATGCTGGAGCTGTTCCTACAGCAGGAGCAGGCTCCACCTCAGCCCCCCACTGTGCTCTTTCACGGGCAAGCCATTCAACCTGTTAGGCCTCAGTTTCCTGCTCTACAAAACAGGTACAGCGATGGTGTCTGTTTCACAGGCTTGTTGGGAGCAGTAAACACATTAGTGTGTGGCAAGCGCTTGGAGGAGCCCAGGGCATTAGCAAGCGCTCCAGAGCGTTTGTTAGCTCCCAGGACCACAGGCAGGAAGGTGTCAGTGCGGGGGCTGTGCCCACTGGCAGGCGGTGGGAAAGGCAGCTGGCGCTCTCCCCTCTCCCGTCTGCAGGGACTTCCTACCTAAGGCGCACCCTGAGGGGACAGGCGGCAACGCTAGAGACTCCGTGGTGCTGGGAGCCAGCTGGGGCTGGTCCCAAGAAACCAAAGACAGGCATTTACCCCCTCGGGCAGGCAGAGATGGCCACACGCGGCTCCCTACATGCATGGTTCCTAAAACCAAGGGAAAGGGTGGTGAGCTTTTCCTCGGACTCAAGGCACCTGAGGGTGCGTTCTGCCACCTTCCCACGACCTGGGGCCTGGCAAGCGGCAGGCACTCCACCGGGTCTGCCTGGAGTGCTCCTCTGACAGCTCCCTCCGCAAATGCCAGCAGCCACGGGCTTGGGCAGGAGCTGCCTCCGCCAGCACGTCTGGGCTGGGCAGGGACGGCCAGGACCCCGGCGGCCCTCTCGGGCCTTGCCGACAGCGATGTGACAGGTCCCACTCTCGGTCTGCCACTCTGCGGGGGAAGCTGGACGCAAAGATCAGCTCTGAAGAGCCCGAGAAGGGAGAGCCGTGGGGCTCACTCGTTCACTGTCTCCTGTACCCCACAGAAGGTCTGTTAAAGATGGTCATGGGTGTACAAAGCGTTAAGATGCACTCTAACCAGAAAGCCCCCTCAAGAGGCATGCATAGCACTCCCTGTGGAGGGCCAACCCCCCTTCTACCCTCTCCCCCTCCCCCCTTCCCCTGAGGTTTTGTTTACCTTCTTCATGGCACTCATAGCTTTTTAAAACTTCATTTATTAGTTTGCTGGTGTGTGTCTGTGTGTGATCTGCTTCCTCCACTGGGACGTGGGGTGTGGTGGCGAGTGGACAGAGACTCAGTCTCGTTTATCTCGACATCCTGGCACCTGGTCCAGCCCCCAGCACACAGGAGGTGCTCAGTAAATGCCTGTGGCCCAGCCTGTTCTGCTAGAAGCAGCTCACACACAAAAAACTGACATCACCAGAACTCCGCAACAATTCGAGTGCTCAGGCGCACTCGGGTGCGCACACCCTCCCAGGGAGCACTGAGCGTGCTGGTTGTCTGCAGTTAATGGTCTGCAGGATCGGCCAAACCTGTGTCGATTTTATTGGTCTTTCGGCCAATACCTTGTAAAGTAGAAGAAAATGGCTCTCAAGTGGCTTAATGGCCAATGGACTGGGAAGGCGAAGGGCCTGCTCCATGGGTGGCCCTCCTGTGCCTGGGGTGACTCAAGGGACAGGGCCTGGTGCAGGTGGGACCACAACCCAGGACTCTTCTCTGCGTCAGGGGTGTGGCTGATGGCCTCGCCCTCTAGTGCCCACAGACCCGAGGGGCTTCCTCCCTCAGACCGGAGGGGCTCCCTCCCCCACCCCCCGCCCCGCCAGAGGCTGAGTCCGGCCCTCCCGCCAGGGCAGTGGGTACGCTGCACCTTGGCGCTTCATCTCAACAACTCTTGCTGGTTACTGCTTGTTTGACCGCCATATCCACCCTGCGCCTAGGGTTCTTTGGTTGTCTCTGCTCACAGAGCCTTAGTCTTCCTTCAGCTAGTCCTCTCTGGTTGTAAAACATGGTATTGGGGGGGCTGATTAACACCCACTTCTCCCCCCAGGGACGTATGCCTTGAAGCCGAGCGCAGCCCTGGCACTGGGCCCGGCCGAGCATTTCGGTCAGCATCTACATGGTTGAGCAGTAGCCTGACCTAGTGGCAAGTGGCAGGTGGTGCGCCTGCCATCTCAGGACCAGAAACAAAGACTCTGGGGGCTGGACAGAGTCGAGGAGGACCCCCATTTCACCCCCATTCCATAGATAAGGAAAATAGGCCCCCTGCTCAGGGCTGGGGCTGGGGCTGGCGCTGGGAACGAAATTCGGGGACCTAGACTCCCTGAACCCAGTCCTGGGTTCTTGAAATACCTCCTGGCTGTCCCAGGACATGACCATACCAGGCCTAGGGGTGGGGAGGGGGTTGGGTGGGGTCACAGGGGTATGGATGCCCAAGGGCTCTGGGGCCAGATCGTCCTGTGGTTATAAAGAAACCACTCTCAGGAAGCTCATGGCAATGAGGCCACTGAAATGCCCACTGCAGAGTTTGGGGTTGTTGATGGGCCTTAGGGGCCTGTCCCCATCCCACTGTGAGCACTGCGCCTCCTCAGCGCCTGGCCTGGCCAACATCCACCCTCTTCCAGAAAACCTCTCAGGGCCCCCCCGTCTGGGTGAGTTGCCCCTCCTCTGGGCTCCCCCAGCCTCAGAGTCCTCCGAGCACCCTATCACCCAGCACGGAGTTGGGACTTTGGCAACGGTTGCTGTGTAACATGTGAAAGCTTGATTCACTGGGCGTGCATGGGAAGTGCTGAGCACGGCCCCATCCGCCAAGGTCAGTGCCCACTCGGGTGCTCCTCCATCTGCTCCTCAGGCTCCTCCAGTTCCTGCAGAGGCCTGTGGCCCCTCGGCCCACACCCCACCTGCCAAGCCGAGCTGGCATGTTCGGAGTCACCTCTCTACCCAAGCTCATTCCAGAACCCTCCTCCCAGCAATCTGGCTCCCAAAGGCTGTTTCGGGGCCAGTCATAAAGATCTCTCACTTTCTCCCCAAGGACTCCAGGCTGTGAGAGTTTTTTAAAGCAGAGTTTAGGCCCTGGCCAGGAAGCCCGGTCGGTTAGAGTGCATCCCAATACCCCGAGGTTGTGGGTTAGACCCCCGGCCAGGGCACATACAAAAATCAACCAATGAATGCATCAGTAAGTAGAACAGCCAATTGATGTCTCTCTCTCCCTCTCCCCTGCTTCCTCTCTAAAATTAAAAAAAAAAAAAAAAAAAAGCAGAATTTATCACTGAATTTTCCTTTTAATGGTTTTACAGTGACATGAAATGCTTTTGCCTCCTGAGACAAGGCATGATTCAGGAGAGAAGTGTGGACAGCTGGCTTGCACACCAGACAGCGGCCAGCAGAGGTCAGCGGGAGAGCAGGGAGGGTCACTGGCCTCCTGCACTGGGTTTGACTTGCCTCCTTCTCCCTCCCCCAGGGGATTCCGCCTCCCTCCCGGTGGCTCTGGGCTTGCCGGTCTCTTTTTCTGCCTCCTTCTGACCGGGGGGCAGAGCCTCCAGTGACTGAATGTCTGTCCTCCGGCGCTGGGACACCTTTCTGGGTAGTGAGGATCTTGGGCAGGGACCAGCTCTCACTCCCCTGCTCCCGGGTCTTGCCCAGAGGAGGACGCAGATCATGGTGTTGGGGCAGAGAACGGACTGAGGTGCAGTCTCCATTTACCACCCCGTCCAACCTGTGCCCCTGGATGCTGATGCTGATGCTGACGACTGCGCACCTGGGGTCCCCTGGGTTTGCAGAAGGGAGTCGCTGTGAGGTGACCGGAGTGCCTGGAGAGAGGTCGGGGCATTGCCTCCGCATACATTCCCATGTGGGGGCTGCATCCCTGGCAGTTCCAACCTCGGCTCATGCGGACGGGCCTCTCTCAGGGGTCTCTTGGCTGTCCAGGTTCCCCGTGGCACCTCCCCTTACCCTTGTCCCAGGCATGCTCACAGCTCCCACGGTGGCCCTATATTCTCGAGTCCCGCCCACACCCCAGGGAGCCCCGCCCACAGCCCCTGGAAGGGATCCACTGAGCCACCTGGGGTGAGTTCTGTCTTTCCAGGGCAGGACAGGCCGACCAGCTCTGGAACCAAGAGCTTAGAGCCTGTCGAAGAAGCCAGGGCAGACAGGAGTCCTCTGGGGTTGTTCAGGGCGGAGGGGAGGGTGGCGCCCCCACACCCCCCCGAAGTCTAGTCCAGCATGCCTCAGCAGGCTGGCACTGCCCGCCAGAGACTGATGTTTGTTCCCCATCCCCTCCTCCCGTTGAAGCAGCAAGTAACTTCAGAGGTTTGGGGCAGAGAGGGAGGCAGAAGTGACTTTTGGAAGAACCCGGGCAGGGCCCTTGACAGGACTTATGCCCCACGCCCTGGCGGTGCCCCAGGTGGGTCTTGCACACTCTTTCTCAAAACCCTTCCCTGGCCCCCAGGACCCACTGAGTCCCCAGCCAGCTGCTCTGCCTGGTGGGGCCAACACCGCCCTGTCTGGCACACGGCTCCCTCCGGCCCCACCCCAGGCGCCTGGAGCACCTCCCTGGCTGTGTGTCCTAAAATCCTCGTCCCACCCCAGCAGCCTCTCAGACAGATGAGGTGACATCCCGATCAGAGTGAACTGACCCCAGACCCCAAGAACTGCCTCACTGTGCAGCAAAGCCCAAGGCAACTAGGGGAGGGTGCCTCAGACCGCCTTTTGAAAGGTAACCGAGATGGCAGTTACAGAAATGACAGTGTTTCTGGAAGACACTTTGCTGTTTGGGTCACTCATGACCCCTCTAGAACGCTCCTATTCATCCTTCAAAACCCAATTTGAGTGTCACGCTCACTGCAAACCTCCGAGGCATCTCAACCTCTCTCTTCTCCCCAGACGCACCTTTCTCTCCTCTGTCATCCATCTTCCTCTGTCTGCACCTCTTGAAATAAACAGAAGCTGCTGCACTTGCTAAGTGCTTACTGTATACCAGGCAGGAACACACATTTTGTGCATACTATTTGCAGCAGGCAGCTCACCACCCCCCAGAACAGTATGAAGTCATTAGTCTTTCCACCCATTTCACAGATAAGGACCCTGAGGGCCAGAGAGGTCAATGGGTTTCCTCCTGGCAACACAGCTGGAAGTAGAGTCTGAATTTAGGTCTGACTGTAGAGCCCAGTCTCTAGTCCAAACCAGCACGGTGCCTCCCCCTAGTGGCTCCACTACCAGCCCTGCAAGCAATGCTTCCCGCCTCTGAGGCTTTGAGTGAGCCCCCGATGGTGGGGCCTGCAGTGATGGGGGCTGGGGGGGTCATTTTCTGCATCACTGGCCCTGCCTTGTAATTGGTGCTCATCACATGCTCCCTGAACTGAACACCCTAGAAATGATGGGGGTGTAAGGTCTGAGATGGGCTTGAAAATATTTCAGCCAACAAAAAGCTAAAAGGAAAAGGAAAGCAATACAGCAAATAGTAGCCAAACCTTGATAACTGTTGAATCAGGGTGAAGGTAGATGCGAGTTCATGGTATAGTCTTCCTACTTCTTAAATGCTTAACACTTTTCATAATGAGAAAAATACAGTGGGGGTGGGTGAAGGAGGCCAAGCCCAGCTGGGGCCCCCTCAGGGCTCAAAGCCAGTAGACACTCACCTTTTTATGGCTTTGTAACAAATGATGACAAGCACAGTGAGAAACAGCAGGGAGGCACAACATACCGCGATGATGGTCACCAGCCCCGACCACCAGCTCTCCTCCGGGGGGCACGAGGTAGAGTTGGGAGCTGCAAGAGACAAGAGCAGCCTGAGTCTCCCCTGCGTGAGCTGGTCCTGGCTGCATCGGAGGTGGACCATCGTGGGGACATCCAGGGTGGCCTCACTGCCATCCATGGCCCAGGCCCTCTGACCTGTGCTACCGTCCCCACCCCCACTCCAGCAGGCAGCAGGTGACATCATCAGGCTGGCCTGGGGCCAGGGCAGCATGCTCCCAGCAGGGGTTAAGCACCGCGCCTGCCCGGGGCCATCTATCCTCCCTTGGCATGAGCTAACTGACAGCAGGGTCAGGTTTAATTTCCCATGAAAAATAACAGAACATCTCATTCTCTCAGCTGAGGCATTAAACCCGCTCCCTCTGAAGGTGGGGGTGGGAAGCAGGGCTCGTGGGGGACCCTGGGGAGGAAGGAGAGAAAGGGAAGTTCATCAACATCAGTTCTTAAGCTAATTTCTTGTGAGGGGCAAGCTGTCTCCTTTCTGGGATTTGCCCATGTGGAGGGGTCTGCAGCTGTCTCAGCTTGTATGTGGTGCCCGGAATTTGGAAAGGTCTGTCATTAACAAAACATCTGGTACTGGCTACAGAGCCCCCTTGTCATTACTCAGTCCATGAGGTCCTTGGGGTGAGCTGTCCTCCCCCTCGGCACAGGCTGTGTGGGGTGGACCCTCAGCTCAGGCATGGACGGGCTTGAAAGGAAGCTGGTTCACTCTCCTCTGAGAAAGGCCCTGGAAGACCCTGGCACACCTGGGAAGAAGCACCAGGAGTTGCAAAAAAAAAAAAATGATGGCGGGGGGAGAAGGAGAAGGAGGGGGAGGAGAGGAGGAAAAGAAGAAGAAGAAGAATGAGGGAGAGGTGAGAGTGAAGGAGGGAAGAGGGGTTAAGGAAGGGAGGGAAGGGGCATGGTGGATGGACCAACATGCAGACATTATTAGCGACTATGGGCAGGTCTTCAGGACGTGACTACATGCAAAAGTATCAACCATGCCCCAGACTCTGCGTCCACTTAATAATAATAGGCACTGTGAGGAGCACACTGGTACGTGGGGGCTAAGTGACTGATTTCCCAAAGGCCACCGTGGAGGGCTTTGTTATCGTCATTGTGATCAAGGTCATTCAGTGCGGTGAATCGCACCCATCTGAAGCATGTGGTCCGATCAGCTGTGACAAGTGGGAACCCCGGGGTCAGCAGCACTTCCCTCATGACACACAACATCTCCACCAGCCCCAGCAAGGTTCCCGGGGCCTCTTCCTAGTCCATCCCCACCCTGGGGCAACTGGCCACTCTTCTGCTTTCTGTGGAAATGAAACTGTGTGGTGTGTATTTCTTCTTTCTTGATTTAGCAGAGTGGGTTTGAGATTTGTCCACGTTGTTGCATTTTTCAGTGGCTCTTCCTTTTCTGTCGCCAAATAGTACTTCGTTACGGGAGTAAACCACAATTTATGGATCCGCTCACCTCTTGATGGGCACCTAGGCTGTTTCCGGGTTTGGGCTTCTATGAACAGAGTTGCTATGGACATCCACATATCAGTTTTGGCACACACATTTTCATATTTTCTTCAATAAACATCTAGGGCTTCTCTCACGGGGTTTGCGTGATTACTTCTCTAGGGAACTGCCACGCTGTTTCTCCCAATCACTTGCCCTCTTGTACTCCCATCCGGAGTAAGACAAAATGGAAAGAAGGGAGTGGTTACGGGTCCCAGAACTGCTATCGTGTTGGCACCCTCGCAGCTGGGTGGGGAGATCCAGGGAGCCATTGTAGGCTCCCCAGGAAACCAGGGTTAAAACCCTGTTAGCAAATGCAAGGTGCGGGGGGGGGGGGGTTGGCCTTCAGCTCCTCAGAGAGACCATGCACACTCAGAAATGCTTCCCGATAAATGGCTGGGACAAGGATGTCACCAAACAACATGGATGTTCTCAGCCAGGGTGATATCCTTCAGAAAACCCAGCACTGAAATGACTGCAGGGTACAGAATTCGAAATAGGAATAAACTCTAAAATAAGGGAAAGGGTATTCAGAAAGATTCTCATTTCCCCCCGATTAACTTCTTCAGGGCGTTCTATGGCTAAAAAAAAAATCCTTTCCTCGATTCCTCACATTGGGGTGTCCCTGGCTTGGCTGAGCCCACACAGGGTACATTATAGCAGATCCCAGAAAGGAGGTCGCTGTGGAGAGCCAGAGGTACGACCAGGCACGTGGGCCGAACCCCAACGGGTCTGCCTCCTTATTTTCACTGCAAAGGTTAAAAATCTTGGTTCCTGTCCATGCTACCCCAGGCTGGGGCAGCTCAGGGCTGCAGCCCACAGGGACCCTCCCACCAGCCTGCCCATGGTCCACCTGTCACCCAACACTCCCATGGTCGGGAAAACATCTACTGTGTGGTCTCAGCCAGGGGCATACCCGCTCCACTGGGCCCCCGGAAATATGGGGTGGGGGCTGTGTTCGTGGCTACAATGAGGCTGGCAAAACTACGAGTATGAATGACCACCACAGCCTGGAAAGTCCCACATGAGGCAGAATTACCCCTTGAAAAACGCCCCCAGGGTGCCCAGTGAGAAATTCCAACTCCACAAAGAAAGGCTGGTTCTACACCTCACCTGGAACTTGACACTGAACTTCTGAGAGCCTCTTTTCTTTACAGTTGCTCTCAGGGAGGTGGGACTCTCCTTTTGGCTTACTTTTCTCAAATACAGTTAGTATCGAAAGAGGGGACTTGTCTGAGAGGGTCTTTCTGCACAGGGCCCCCTCGAGTGCTCAGCAGTGCACACTCACCGCCGTGTGGGGCAGTCACCCGAGGTGAAAATGCTAACAGATAGGAAAAGAGGGAGATATCTGGTGAAACTTAGTCCTACTCACACCTCTTAGATTTTGCCAAGAAAGCAGCTGTTGGGTTCAAAGAAGGCATCCTTACCTACCCTTGCGTGAGTCACTGGTTGGCAAGGACCAGAGGATGTTGGAGCTGAAAGAAGCCTGGGAGGTGTCATTTCCAAAAGGGAACACAAACTTGAGTTTAGGATCAAGTAGCTGTCCCGGGGGCAGGGTGGGACCCAGATCTTCAGGCAGCAGGCTAAGTCTGCCCGGGTCTAGAAGTCCTTCCCACTGGGCGTGGCCAGCACTTCTTTCCAGATACAGTAAGACAGCTTATCCTATGGGGACAGACTGATGGGTCATATTCTAGAAGACAGCTTCGTGAAGGAGCTCATTGACGTATTCATTCATCCACCAAAAATGCACTGAGCATCCTCTGGGCCTGGCACTGTGCCGGGAGCTGAGGCTGCAAAGATGGATTCCACGTAAACTGCTCTTACCAGGTGTGCTGCCAGCTGCCCACGGGACACTGCAGAGCTGGCTGCGACCCGATGGCCTTGCTCAAGGAGCCATCAGTCTCCAAGAGGAGAAGAGATGTGCTCATGGGCAAGGTGAAGGTCATTCGTGGCTGAGGAGAGGAAGCCACAAAGTGCTAAGGTTCCCAGGGGAGGGAGGAGCCTGTGAGAGGCAGGTGGTCAGCAGAATGGGGGGGCAGCCAGAGTGTGAGGTCCCACACCTGAGGCCACCCAAGCTTGGTCCCCTCCACCAATGTCACTCTCCCTCGCCCCCTGCCAAGATTTTGCAAACACAACAGAGGCTGGAGCTGCCATGATGTGTCAGGGTTCGCCGCACTCCCTCTCCTGGGACCCAGCGAGGCTTTGTCTGCTGTATTCATTAACCACTCCTGTCACCTGTAAAGACTCTGGACCAGCAACCCCAGGCTGATTTAGAACTACCTGGGCTCAGTTTCAATTTATCAAAGGAACTGCTTTCTTTTCAACAGAAAGATGCATCAGTAAGAGCTTCCTGCAGAGATGAAGTAACCGAGGATACATTTGACGCCCCCCCTCAAAACATGCAAAAAATATACCAAGTATATAAAACAATGGCTTACAAAACGGTGGACGTCAAGGCAACAAAGGCAGAGATCCCTCAGGGACAAAGAACAAAGAGGCGAGCTCTTGGGGTGTCTAGCTACCGCCTGGAGAGTTCCCAGATGGGCTGGGCCGCCACTGGGGAAGTCTGGGAGATGGGGCCGAGAGTCCAGGCGGTGAAGAGGACAGCCGAGGACAGCCACACTTGAGTCCATCAACGGATGTATCATTACTGCCCCTGGCAAGTGCTGGGGGAGAAGATGTCAGGGCCCCGACACTTTGTGGAAGTCTCTAGAAAGAAAGCATTGGGGGTGGGTGGAGGGGGTGCAGCTTCAGATGTACCCCTCTGAGTGGTCATCAAGAAGGCTGAGCTAACCAAGGAGATTTCTGGGGGGCCTCGTGGACTCACCAGCCGTCTAGTGTCATGAAGGAGCCGTGTGGGTCAGGCAGGTCCCCCAGCCACTTTTGGCGAGAAAATCTTCCCTACATTCCTCGTGGGCTTGTTGTGACTATCAAACAAGAAGACGGGAGGTGCCGGGAGTGGCGGCCACCGTGAGCTGGGACCTCCATGGAACAGCCTGTTTTTATCCCCTTTGGGAAGTGGGGAGGGGGAGGCCGAGGGGCCAAGTGCCTGTCGGGATTGGAACGCAGGTCTGCTTTGAGACAGTACGCACAGCCAACTCAGCGCATATTCGTGGGTGGCCCGGGAACCTGCCACTTCCTCCTCCCCATCAGGGCCGGCTGTGCACACGGAGGTCTGACTAACAGGAGGGGACAATGAATGGATCAAAGGAACAATGAATGAGGTGAAAACAACCTCAGTTTTGCAGGATTTCTTTCAACGGTTCCTACAAGAGGGGAGTGACGGCCAGGTTCTTTGTTTTACTATCACGTGCCACTGTGGGATGGAAGCCATAGCTTTATCCAAGGCTCGGCCCCGTGACCCCGTGCCCGGCCACCTTCAGGGGCCAGCGCCTGCATGCACGGTTCCCCGTTTCTTGAGCATAGCCCCAGGGCCAGATACGGCAGGCGCCACCTCGGCCATGTCAAGGGTCTCTGGGGCATCATCACACCTCTCTCCTACCTTTCAGAGTCTTTGGTGACCCGTG